TGTTATACTGCTGTTTACTCTGTTGAACCAGCAACAAAGTGTGAATGTTAGTGTGCTAGCTGTAGATAACTTATACAAGTCTCATGAATTAGTTTCTAAAATAATGTGTTACCAAACTTTCTTGGAGTAAAATAAAATCAGAGAAATAAATAGATCAAAGTTTTAACAGTTAACACAAAACATAATGTTCTTAGTCTCTAAAGGGTGAAAAAAGCATGATGAAACTGCCCCAAGACTTTCTATAAATAAAGAAAACATCAGTCTAAGTGCAAATTTGTATTAAGAGAATAGCAAAACTTTAGCTTCTTAATTCTTTAAATATAAAACATAAGTTATGGATGTTAGAGCCTTAATGAAATGAATACATATATAATGAGATATTCTCCTGGGGCTTTAGAATCTTCATACAAATTACTTTTAGAAAACTGAGGAAAATGAAGACATGTCTCTGAAATGTCCCCATTAAATCTCTAGAGCGGTGTTTCTCAAACAGTGGGTGGCAACCCACTTGTGGATTGCTGGCTTCTCCTAAGTGGGTCACAAATGCCCATTTGAGCTCTTTTTCCTTCTTATTTGAAATAAATGGAGCACACATCTTGAAAATGAGTTAATTGCCAAAAAATGAGAACCAGTGAACTGAAGTATGGGTTTAATTCCCATGGAGGAAATTCAAAAACTGAGTTGAGTACATTTAACATACTGTACTATAACAAAATTAAGATTTATTTTCGAGTTCTGCACAGATGCAGCAGATGGATCTAGTCTACAACAGAATGGCATTTGCTCAGTAGTGCAAAAGGAGAGGGAGGGACTGCAAGTTATACAACTGCAACTTGAGTTAGAACTTATTTACTTAGAGTAAATGAATGACTTCACAATAAATGAGCAACGGTTAATGTGTAAGTGTTATTGCATACTACAGTATATGTCTGACCTGGATTATGTGTAAAAGTGAACAGATAATGTGTAGTAAGAAACCCTAATTGAAAATGTGTGGTGTGTAAATTTACACATGTACATCAACACAGTAATAAACTAATTACAGAAACAACTAAATAAAGCGTGAGTATTTGCATACATGTACAGTATGCATTTGGCCTCTGTGATATTTACAAAACCAAAATACAGTACATTTCACCCCAAAAAATAATAATACACTGCTGCAGTATGAATATACTGTGCAGGTAACAGTTGAATGCAGGAAAAGACATTCAATGAAAAGCAATGAAAAAAGATTTCAGGTAAGAACAACAATAGTAATTCAAATCATTTCCACAGAAATGTTCGATATCTTGACTGAACTACAAAATGTGATAGTAGAATGTCTACAGTACATGTTGCCAACTACAAAGCCTACAAAAAGGAAAAGTAAGTTCTAAAGATCTGTAAAAACAGACTATAATAAGAGGAGATAGATTACATAATCATTTACTAAAATCATCTTTAATATGTACATACAGTAAATAAAGATAAATAACAGCATGCTGCCACATCTTACTGATGTCCATGAAGTTACTGTTGACACAGGATTTACAACTGTATTCATATCAGGGCATCGTAGACTCTGGATAAGGTGTATATTGTAATGCATACAGCCGACATTACAGGTTCTATGAGCTGGCTTGCCAGCGCGGTGACATTACCACCCTTCCCTGTGAATAGCAGATCTCCCTTTAGCTCAACCGGCTGGTTCCATGTTGATTGACGCTAGAGACCCGGGTTCGAGCCTCAACAGTGGAGGGCCAACCTGAGTGGTGAGGGCGCATACTGTACCCACGTGAACCCAAAAGTGCTACAATATTAATTTCAGAGTTAAATGGTCTATTAACTGAATATTTTACCTTTTTTCTTTTTATTTTACTTTACATTCTCTTAACTGTGTTATTGGTGCCTTTTAAAAATTTAAAGGCTACAGTATTTGATGGCTAAACAGCTAATGCTAAACTCAAGGAATACAGAGTTCAGAAATATCTTCAGAAGTTATGTTTCTCTAAATTAGTTGTTTACCGCTAAAGTATTTCATTCTCCAGGCAAATTCCCTCATATACTGCCTTCAATCAGGTTAATAGCAATCAGGTGATCTTCATTATTCAAAACAAGACATACTCTAGTTGTTTGCTGGTTTTATTAAAATAATATATTCTGATCAGCTATTTACAGTATAAACAGTAGATTCTGATATTCACATCAACTTGTTTTGGCCATTCTAACTTAACTCAAATACTAAAACTAACAGCACCTGGAATGTTATGTACTATTCAAATAATTTAAAAAAATGTTTTAGCATTATTTACACAGTAAATTACCATATGTATGTACCTAATGAGCAGCTGACGTACTGTAAGACCTAGACTGATGTGTTTTGATTGTGTATTGTCATAAGTTAGATTATATAGTGAAATTCAGTACTAAAAAGCTATTTAAATGTTTTGATTAAAACACTTTTTTTAAAGATTAACAGAACTAGTCAGGCAATGCAGCACCAAATGACTCAACCACCATACTGTACTTGTGAATCTTGCAAAGGGTAATCAATAGCCTCTTATTTCAGTGCCTGCCTTCTCTGTTTGCATATTTCATTTGTCTTCCTTACCCAGCTTTGTGCTGCAGTTAATTGAGTGCTCAATTCTAACTGTTAAATTTGTACTCATCTAACAACAACCACTAAAAACTTTTCTGAAGTTAATTCTCAGTCACTTAAATGATATTTAAATTATTTTTAACCTATTAGAAAAATTGTATAGCACTTAAAATTTAGCTTTTCTATTTTGAAAATATCTACTGATACTTTTCCTTTTTAATTTCACATCTTGAAGTACAATTTAAAATTAAATAGATGCACTCTATCTCACAGTCTGTTTCATAGCACAGAATGATTGACTGTGATAGACTTTGATACATACTGTACATCCTGCAAGCCAATACAAATTCTCGCAACACTTTTAGGCATAGGTACTGTACAGTATGCATTTGTTCTGTATTAGTCCTATCTGACTAACATACTGTACTAGCACTTACTACAGTACATCATGAATGGTAAATATAAAAACATACAAACAGCATAATTTAAAAGGCATATAGAAAGCAATTCTTACTAACAAACTAATTTTAATTAGCCTTTTCATAAACAACTACTATTGTTTTATAATATACTGTTTACCTAAAACTATGAACAATTACCTATATTCTCAAAAATGAAGTTGACAACTCTTTAGAGCAGAAAATGCCTGCAAGGCATGTGTTAGGTATCAATGATATACTGTACTAGCACTTAACATGATCGATAACCCCTTTTTTTGTAGCAATGAATGGAAGTCGTGTAGCACTTCCATAATTAAAGAGACAATCCCAACCTCAACAAATATGCAAAGCTCTAAAAACCAATCTTATGGTTTAATTATTAATGATAATGATGAAGATGGAGTGAAAAGGGGGTTTCCATCATACATAGTTACACATTAGTGCTGGTGTTCAGGATCCACAATGCCAGCACATCACTGTACCCTGCAGAACCTGCAGCACATTTGTCTTCTTATACAATGTTGACAACTGAAACCCAGAATGCAAAATTGGGCAGCAGCCCTGAAGAATATTAAAGAGGGTGCTGGTATGTAATAACATAAGCTCACGTTCAAGAATCTTGTGAAAGACATCAACAGAAATGTTACGTAATTATTCAATCTTTGTATTCTGCCTAATGTAAGCCCACTGATATGTTTATAAAATCTGTAATACATTTGTGACTAAAAACAATATTCCTGGTTGCTGCAGGATGACATTTGAAAAAGTAAGATAGTCTAGATTAAGACTCTGATCAGAAGGGACTTTACAAATTGCACGCATTTAAAAAACAAAAGAGAGTGCTGATTAAAACACGGCTTGGCTTGGTTTCAAGGCAAATGTGTTCTCAACATAGCAAAAAGAATAAACATTTTTTCAAACATGTTCTAGAGACTTTTTCTAAACGTTAGCTATAGGACGTTGCATCACAATCTGCGGTGCTCTGCCAAAATATATATCTAATTTTACTGCTTGTTACCATCAATACGAGCTATTTGAAGTTGAACATCAATGTTTAGTGAACATCAAGCTCTACTTTTGAAGTAAGGTATAAATTACACTCTTCAAAATGTAGTAAACATCCACCCAAGAAAGAGGAAATTAACACTGTTCCAAATGGATACATGAGATACTGAAAGACTCAGTTTGATACATTCAAGAACATTTATGACAAGACAGGTGCTTTAATGTTTTAATTGGAATAAACAAAGTAGAAAATAAGAACCACATTGCTAAATAAGAACAATAAAATCCAGTACATTTCAGCTTCACAACCTGGTACAAAGGAAAAGTTTTGAATTCCTTTGATCATTGTGATTTAATTTCACATAGTTATGTACCATGATAACTATAAACTTCCATACATCCATTTTCTAACTGCTTCATCCAGTTCAGGGTCACGAAAGGAACAGAATCTACGGTAAGTAACAGGTGCAAGACGGGATACACCCTGGATGGGATGTCAGTCCATCAGAGGGCACACACAGACACAAACACAGAGACACGCACACTCACTCCAGAACAAATTTTCCTAGAAGCTAGTCAACCTTTCAGTGTGTTTTCAGCTAGTGGGAGGAAAGCAGAGCACCCAAAGAAAACTCATGTGACAATAGAGAGAACATGTAAAATCCACACAGATAGCACCCAAGGTTCCATATTGAACCCAGGGCCCAAGTGCTGCCATGCAGCAATGCTAACCACTGCAACACCATGCTGTCAACTGTATACTTCAAGTAATTGTATACTGTATAAAACTAAGGGATGCAGTTCTTAATGAACATGAAGGGATGTGGGTATATGGAATATTTAATCCTAGCTGTGATACTGACCCTGGCTGCTGAGAATGTCTCATGCTTTTATGCAATTATGTCAAAAAACACTGTCACATCATCTTTGTGACTCATCACCACCCACAACAAAACCACCTGTAGATAACTCACATTGAGCTGAAGGGAATCCATCCACTGGCCAATCACTTTGTATCCTGGAGCACTGTTATTTGTCATCTGGTACTGAAACAAATCATAGCGTCCAGGGGCATCCCCGTTTTTGTTGAACGTCACAGATGTGCCTGCACTGCCTAGGGAAGAGATGGAGGAGAGAAAACAATAAAGAAATCCAATATATGCTCAAACAGAAGAGTCAAAAGACTCACACCGAAGCATCCATCATCGTAGAGAGAGGAGAAAACAAAGAAAATGCCTTAAGTGACCATTTGGCAGAGAGGAATTTAAAATAAAATAAAAAAGGACAATTAGTTTTTACTTTTTCTGTTCTCTTCTGCCATTCGTTTGGTTGATGGGCATCGGGTCTCCTAAATGGTACCTGCAGGAAAGAATGCATCTTTGCCCTCTAATTTGTGAAACCTGTGCAGCATGAAGTATCACCCCCCCTTCCCCTCTCCAGCAGAACGCTTTCAGGGAAATGCAAATCAACAAATGAAGTCTGTAAAAGTCCGTTATTTTATTCTTCCAATATTCCTTTTTACCAGAATAAGCTCCATTTGTGTTTGTCAGATACTGCTGCAGGGCTGAAGCCCAGGCTAGCTGCCCTTAACCGCCATACAGAAGCTCCTCCCTACTTCACAATATGCTCTTTCAATCAGGCAGAACACAGTTGTGGCAGTTCTAATTGCCATGGCTATTCCAGTCAGTACATAACACTCAATGAATAGATCACTCCTGCCAGGGACGGGAAATTGACCTGTCTCTTAGGTTGGAGATGCAACGAAGGGCGGCTGGATATACCAAAGAGGCAATGCCATGGCTAAGTTCCCATTGACCTGATGCTCCTCCTAATGATGCAAAGCACAGAAAGTCTTCCTAGAAACTGAGTTACATAAGGATGGCAAGATGAAAAGAAGGACTGGTTTAGAAGATTTGGCTTTCTCGTGTATGCTTTTGTTCCCTGTTTACAGGGAGATTTAGAAGCACTGTATGATCCTGAGCTGAGTGAGAAACAAAATCTGAAATGACTAAACTTTTATGTACAAAGAATAGTTTATGAATTATACTGTATGAATTCTACAATGTAAGAAAATGACTATTGTTTTGCAATGCAATCTGATGTATTCTACTGAAAGACCATTTCAAAGCATTCCAGTCCAGTATCAGGAGGGGCTTTCAGAATTTGAGACATTTGCTATCTCCAAAATCTGTAGCTCTCTGTGAATGTGAGAGGAAAGCAAAAGCCCATTAAACTTTGAAGTGGGTCATTTTTAAAATACATTTTTTAAAATACATAGTCTAGCCCTTGAATATGAACCACCATCACATACAACTCTGATCATTTTACACAGCTCAGACTCTGCTTAGTTAGAACAGCAGACTTCTGGTGGGTGCAGCTTAATGAAAAAAAACTTGAGTGACCTTGTGGAGTAGGATTACTACAATCGTTTTTACATTATGAAACTTCATACCGATTCTCCCAGATTCAGACTACACACATCTGAGATCTCCATAGCCCAAAAGGAGATTGTAAGATCAATAATGGCAATAAGCATCATTAGAACAATAATAAGAAGAGGAACAATTTGTTGTTTCTAACCCTTGATAGCCTGCATAAATACTTAAGGTGGGTATATTAAAGTAGATATATCGAAGTGCTGTTTTTCCAGCAAACTAATCAGTAATAATATAAATACATTTTAACATTTTCATTAAAATGTTTCTACTAAAACGATCCATACAGTTAACCAAAGATCAATTACAGGGGTGAATGAACCCCATGAAATCAATGCTGATAGTCAGTGATCCAAACAGGTTGCATATTATTAAATTAAAAATTGTAGCCCTTGGTGTAGTAAATTAAACAGACGAGTGCATGGCTTTGACTGGAAGATCTCTCTCACATGTCAAGTTGCATCTTGTCTTCCTTTCCTGTAATAGAGAAGACAGCAAGGTGATCACAGTCTTCACCGGCTGTACCATATTGCTGTCTCTTCTTATCAATCAGCTTTTACCCTCTCCAAATCACGGTTTAAAACAAATGTTCAAGTTCACTTTTCTTCACTTTGTACATTCTTTTTGCATTTTAATTTGTTCAAGTACAGTATGCAAAGAACCACTACCTCAAGAACCAAAGGTAAGAAATGTAAAAAACAGCTCCTATTTCTATTTCTTTCTTTGCAGATAATCATACTTGGAGTGCATTCTTGGATTGATTTGCTGGAGTTGTGACATTTTGGTGTGGTGAAGGGTTCTAATGAAAACAACAACTTCAAATTCATTATTTTGATGATGCTCCTTTGTCCATAAGAATCAGAGCAGAATTGCAGGCTGCTGTTTTCTTCAGTTAGTCATCATCATGGATCTATCTATCTCACAATTATTTTTTACAAGATGATTTGTCTTTCTTTATTAATTTTCTTCTTTTCATGTTATATGTTTGGTGTTAACTGTATTTTATGTTAATTTCTTTCTCTCTCACTTGGTGATTGACATGTTTTGTGTTACAGTACATACTGTATAGTGTACAGATCTCCAAGGGAATGGGTTGTCCTTCACTTCTCTTTACAAATCTCTGTAAATGATAACTGACAATGTTACAGTATATCCAGGAATTCATGTAGTGCAAAAATACCCATCAAAAGAGGTACAATATCTATTTACACTTTACGTCATGAGATATCAACTCTGCTTATATTCGGGCTTCAAAATAAACACAAGAAAGTTATTGCTCATTGATGCATGATAAATAAGACTTGAAATGGTTGTAGGGAGTTCTTGTACTGATTCTAGGGAGATAAACATTACCATTAAAGTTTTAGCAATGAAACGGAAAGCTTTTTCTGTAAAGTGATGGCAATAAACAGTTTCTATTCTACAGAAGGAATAAATGAGAATTATAAAGTGAGAATTATAATGTGTTTCCCTTGTTATTATTTATTAATAACATGCTTTATATAAATTTAATTAGAAGAGGGAGACTTTGGTTGTTTAATCCACTGTTAGACATCTCCTTACTAAGCACATCTCTTCTCCTTATACAAATGTATGTGATGGTTAGTAATTGAAATATAATACATTTAGAGTTGTTTCTTTTATTTATTCATGAAGATATGTAATATACCCTTGTATATTTTTGTTTCTCTGATTTCAATTTTCTAGATTACATTACCACCACAAATACATTTCCAATCTTGTGAGCATGCCCCAGCTGTGTGTACATTTGATAACTTTACAGAAATCACTTACAATAACGACTGGAATTTTAAGAAAGAAAGGTTTAAAATTCCAGTCGTTATTGTAAGTGTTTTCTGTATTTCTGTATTGTGATTTCTGTTATTGTAAAAAGTTTCAAACCCTCAGGGAGATGCTTGAAGAATGCCCCATTCTGAAGTAAGAAAGACTTTTTCTCACTCAGAAACAACAATTGGGCAGCTGGAAATAGAAAAAAATGTAACTATAGGGAACATAAGACTAGATATCTGTCCAATCTGAAAGGTCTGTTTAAAAACAGATACAGAAGAATCCCCAAACTACAAAACAGGGAAACTACTATGAACATGCTAAAACATTCTGTTACCTGACATCCAAAAGGCCTCCTAGAAGGTGAAATACTGAGGCTTCTTAACTAGAAGGAGATTTCTAATAAGACTGAAAGAAAAATAATAGTTAGGACGTTGTACTTTCTAACTGAGAGCAGGTTAATGGCATTTTCCAAGACTTGTTCCTTTTGCTTCTCTTCTCTAACAAATTAGATTTTTGATATTTTGACAAAAAATGTCATATGCAAAATAAGTCAACGGATTTGATTTTACAAAATGACTTTGGGTATTGTACTGTATATTAACTGATCATTTTCTAACCCCTTCTTTCAACTTTGGACTCGAGGGGGGGGGGGGATGGAATGCCAGCCCATTGCAGGGCAGACACACAGACACGTACATAGAAATGCTAAATTTTAAGGATAAAGATTTTCCAAAGCTTTTGCTGTTTTAGCTGCTGTACCTCACCAAAAATCTCCCATTGCCCCTCTATCTCTGTGCAACCTTGGCATCGCAGTGTATTCTTTTTAAAGTCTCCTTAAACATATTTGGTTAAAAAAATAGGAAAGTTTAGCACTCACAGATCTACATTATAAAAGCTTTTATCTTTTAGACTGGAGGCTAGTTTTCAAAAACTCTTTGAAACTGTGGCAGGAACATCAGCACCAAAACTTCAAGAGATTTTTTTTTTCACTGTCTTCTCTCTGCTTCTGCATGCATTGCCCTTTCATCATTAACACCTACAAATAACACTCTTATCAAAATACTATAATATTTAAAAATTATTTAACATACAAACCATTGCCTTATGACAGGTAATTTATTTTACCTACAGTAACATCCTTATTACAGCAACAGTAGTGAGACATGCTGATGTAAATTCTTATGCAGGATGTTATCTTACATGTTGAAACCTTAAGATTACGATATTCTCTATAATGCACATAGGCAATTTATGTGTAGATATGCCTGATGTTGAATGATTTTGGAGAGTGTTCATGACAGGGCCCATGACATACTGTAAAGGGAAAAGGGCCTGTCTTCTAAGAAGGTGAAACAAATAAAAGGTACACAAAAGGTATCTTGTAAACATACATATTTTACATTCACATCACCATACTTATATTATTTGGAGAATACATTTTCAGTATTTTTTATATGAAAAGCACTATTAGGCTAGGACAAACTGACACTTTACTGAAAGTAATGTATATACTGTATGATTAAATCATGCTGTACATGGGTATCGGGAAGAAAGAATAATGTATCACACAGAAAAAAATAGATATACTGTATATAGAAAGCAAAATAAATTTTGAGTAGCTTCAGATCCTTTACTGAGTGTTATATAAGGATTAGAATAACGTTTTCTAAAACAAAATAAAATCCTACTCAGATGGGTTTCAAGCCAGGGTCCCAGATCACACTCTGGCATCCAGAAATGGCTTCTAGTATGGTGTCAAGAACTAATTACCAGACTGGAAGTTGCTGGATGGTTATAGTGTTTTCTCTTGCCAATATTGTACTTAATGTATTATAGTTCATGCATTCAATAGCATACTACATTAGAAGGAGTTACAGAATGTTCTCTGCTGTTTAAAAACAGACAGCCAAAACCATACATTGCATTTATTTAATAATTATGAATACATTATTGTCTTATTTTAGAATAGAAAACAGGTATTTAGACATACAGTACTGTATCCCAACAAAACACTGGGATACAGCGCGACAATCTAACTTATGGATGAATGTACATGTTTTAGATTCATAACTCCAAAGTGGAGTAGCTACTGTAAGAAAGATTTTACAAACTTCTGGAAGATGGGAGACCACCTTCATACATATATTATTTCTACAGCTTCTGTAGCTGACTTTAGTGCTCTCCACCCCACTTTTATACTGTATAGTGACTTCACCATTACTAGATTTAAAATATGTTTTTTGATGCAGGTGAATGTGGACATGCAGAAACACCACACTTTTTCACTAGTGAATCTTCAGAGTATCTTGATTTAATTTCTTATTTTCTTGATTAATATTCTAGATATCTACTCCTTTCCCAGAGGTTGCAGATTTTGGCAGGTTTAAAGAAATGCAGAAATCTGTTTCTCTGATACCCTGATCTTAAATACCCTCTGGCATTCCGTGTACTAACTCAGCATAAGTTCAAGTAATTTTCATGAAAGTGCAGAACCCTCAACTTTGAAGACTTGAGTTTTTAAGGTGATTGTGAATGAGTTACAGTAAATGCATACATACAGTAGAGTAATTGAACTAGTAATCATTTTGACATCTGTTGTCTTGTTTTGACACACTGTATGTAAAATATGTATACAGTATGTATTTTTGTGCTACTACTTCCTGTCTGTCAAACAGTTTTGAACCTTCTTCACACTGTGCAACATCCTACAGTGTATGTAGCACATACTGTACAGTAACTAACAATGTGCTTGCTTTCTGTGGTTTATCAGTGATTTTTGCTACAATTACATGCACATTTTGACTAAATACAGTATAATTGCAAGTTGCTTTGGAGAAAATCATCTATCAAATAAAAACATGTACTGTACAGTAAAAGTACAAAGTTATTAAGGCTGAACTCCTCCAAAGCCATAACTCTATAATCTAAGGCTGTTCAACTTGGATACCAGAAATTAAAATTAAACTGAATTTCATTTTATAAACTCAAGTTCACTGTAAGTCTATTACTGTTTTCATCACAATAATATGACTGGGTTATGAGGGCTATAAGGGAATTTAAACATTATTTCTTAGATATGGCTATGTTCACTATGCTACTGAAACTTATATTGCCCTTATTACATTAAAACTGTATGAAGAAAGATGATCAAATTGTTTGTCCAATAGTTTTGACTGTATAATAACACTTGAAAAATATAAGACTTTTCCCCCACTTACTGAGCGATTCAATATCAGAAATATTCTCTTTGATTCAGCATTCTATCACTGTAATAGTTTGCCTTATTTATTTTATTTAAATTTGTTTAAAATTAAGTACAGAACAACATCACTACTAATGAATCAAACAAAAAAAATTCTGGCCTGCAACGAATTACATCAATATAGTGAATACAGAGAAAATTACTTCTGCAGCTTAAATTCAGGGTAATAGCTGGTCTCCACAGTTTGTGTTTCATAATGTCGTTGAATCTTGTGACTGAGTATTACTTCCCACTTTCCATAGATGATGGCCCCTCCACTATTTTTTTAGAAGAGGATACAGTATGTTTTCCGCTATATTAATCACAAGAGAGGAAAAATCTTATTCAAATACCAGCTTGAATATTGTGCTGAAGTCTGAAGATCAAAACAGCCACATGGTATCTAGCACCACACATACCAGATTAATGACAAGTGAGTAGCAGGTGTTGGGTCTAAGCAGTTTTAGAATGGATTAAAACAACTGCTCAAGCAATCATAAATTACAAAGCATGATTTTGTCAGGCTTTCCTGAGTAGATTTACAATCTGTTGATAGCTGACAGGTCAAATTTTTCATTTAATCTGAGATATGTCCATTCACATCCTTAAATTAACAATAAAAAAAACCTTAAAACCTAAAACACAATTAGAATAATCTCAATCACTTGTAATTATCTAGATAACTTGTTAATATCCTAGCAACTGTGACCAACATACAAAATTCATAATAATTTAAAATTGTCTTGATACTTCCCATATCATCAATGATACAAAGTACAGACAGAAAGGATTTTGTGCATGCATAAAAAGGAGGCATTAAAGTAATTAAAATACTTTTCAGTAAGATGTTGTAAAATCAATTGTGCAAGATTTTAAACCCCTGTGTACTTTCTGCCAGAAAACCATGTATTGTACATCAGGTGCCAGTGGGTGACAGGTTTTCATAAATCTCTGTACTTCCTCCCAGTCGGACAATAATGTTTTTTGTTTGTCTTGGATTATTTCATGTTTTACTTAAAAATCAGTGTCCTTTTATTTAAATTAATATTTTAAATCTTGAATGACAAGCTATAGTACACCACGTCCTCCTTGTATAAGGTCAGTGTACATGTCATTTTTTAACAATAAATACAATACAGTAACTGATATTCTTGAATAATGATAACACAAAGGCTCCAGTTTCAATAGTCTTATTGTAAATGTATCTTTTTGTTGGGTTTCACTCATGCCAAGCCATTCACCAGGATACTTGATCAGACAAGGAAGATTCTATTCCAAGTAATTTACTGCATAAACCAAACAGTAAGCAAAGAAAGCCAAATCAAAGACCTAATGTTTTCTATTCCATCGCCCTTGCTATCTTCTGCTCTTGCTGTGGCTGCATCCTTAAATCTACTGCTGACAAACAATATGTCTACAATCCATGCTGAGCTGGGATGTAGAAAAAAGTGTGCCATCTTGAAGCACGTCTAATAGCACTATGAACACCCATCGCTTAAACAAATGCCACATAGTGGAAGAGTGAAGGTACAGAATTTGTGAAAAACTGCAAAGAATTTCTGCTCTAACAGTCTAAAAGTAGTTTTAATTTATACTTATTTGTTTAACTCAGGTTTCTATTGCATGTGTATGGGAACATTTTTTAAGACTTTCTTACAAATCATTTTAATTCGTCATAGTTTCCAGAATCAAGATTAAATCAGAATCACGTACTAAAGGAAAAAAGTGAAAAAAATACCCCATCAAGATTGCTAGACTCTTTTGAGTAGGGAGAAGTTTCAGACTGTAAATACAGTAGCTTGATAGTCACTTAACGAAATAGAAATATGTATCAGAGTGTATTAAGCACAAACTAAATCATACATGTGGAAATTTAACAGAAATGTACTGAGAACAAGGGTCACCTTTTTACACACAGGATAGCTGGAATCTGGAACAAACCACGCTGTCAAAGCTACAGTAATAAATTGACTTCATTGAAGAAACATCTGGATTAGATCCTCAGATCAATTAGCTATTAGCAAGCAAGCTGTCTTACTGTATCTGCTTATGCTTCTAAAAAGCTGTATTAAAAGCTTTGTTTTCTCTTTTTTCATGCTTTCCTGTACACTGGTTTTATGGTGAAATTACAGATTTGTTTACATTCCACACTACATTTGTGAATGCATTTTGCACAGGATTGAGCTGAAGCTTTTAGTATTAATCAAAGTTCATAAGTGGGCACCTCAACATTGGGTATCTATTGTTGTCATGTTGTGGGATTTTCTCATATTTCTTTTAAAAATAATCAGCAAACACAATAGTGATGTGGCATTTGAAATTTAAATCCTTCAGGTGGGCAGGGTTCTTTCTCTTGCTGCATGCCAATCAATAATCAATTTTGTTTTACTTTTTTCATTTGTTCTTCCTCCATCTTGCTGATACAAACAGACATTTTATACATAATCGTCTATACTGTACGTGTTATTTCCATTTCTAACTTTCTAAAAAACTATTTAATTTCACAGCGGCTAGTCTCTTAGTTTTGAACCCTGCTGTATTCATCAGTTTTATGTGCTTACAGCTGTTCTGCTGAAATGATTATTCCAGAAAAAGCTTGCTTGAGATGTAACATTGTTCTTCAAGAGTGTCCTGGTGGATGAGAAAATCAGGCACTAGAGATATTACACATACTGTACGCACATTACTGTGTGCAAAATAACAGCAGTCAGCACACCACTTTCAAATATGATATTAAGAATTAGGAGGCCCCCTAGAATGATAATGATAAAACCTCTTTTCATGCAGATTCAGAGCGCACACAATGAGTCAGACTTTTAGACATCTCCTCAGTACTAAGCTTGCAGAGGAGGTTGTTCTTGTGTGCCAGCTGATCAAACTGGTTGGCTCTGCAGGGCACAGACAGTTATGCTCATCACACTTGCCTGTTACACCAATAATCCCCATTGCCACAATTCTAGTACTTTAAAATATAGTCATTGAACATATTACGCATTGTTTCCTTTTCATGACAAAAAGTTTATGCAGCCCACTGTATGTTTCAAAGAATTCTGAGAATTCCCCAGGTGTACAGTATAAACACTGCAGCCCCCTCCGGACTTACCATTGAAGCTGACGTTGCGGATGTATTTAAGAAGCTTCTTCCCTCCGGCAAGCTCCATCTCCGGACACACTCCCGAGTAGTCTGGGCACAGGTCCTTCTGCATGTTGTGAAGGGCATGGGCCATGGCATAAACAGCATCAATCACAAACTGCACTTTCCCCTCTTGCTCGTATTTGGAGTCTTGCCCAATCCTCTCCTGACCTGGTGAAAACAAGACCAAAACCACTCATAAGTTATTGTAAGCCCAGTATTAGGCAACAGAGTTAGATCACCTTGTACATTGCAATGCACCTGGGGACCCTGGTAAACTGCAGTGAAACCTTTCACGAAGTTAAAATAAAAAATCCTTACTTTTGTAGCGCCTTTCTGGACACTCCAGAAGATAACGGGGACTTCCCTCCACCATCAACAATGTGAAGCACCCACCTGAATGATGCAGCAGGAGCCATCTATCAGCGAACAAAGTGATGAAGCCAATTCACAGATGGGTATTATTAGGAAGCCATGATAGGTAAAGGCCAGGTGGAGATTTGGCCAGGACACTGGAACAATACCTCTACTCTTTTTGGGAAATTCCCTGGGATTTTTAATGTTCAAAGAGACTCAGGATATTGGGTTTAACACCACGTACTAAGCATTCTCTACTGGTCCCACTAACACCTCTTCCAGCAGCAACCTTAGCTTTCTCATCCTGGTACTGGCCAGTCTCATTCTGTACCTGCTTTGCTTCAGTGGGTTGCCAGTTGTGAGTTGCAGGTTGATATAGCTAATTGTACAACTGCTGGTTACAGTAAAAGGTTTGTGAAAGGATATACTGTATTAGATTTTTTTTAAAAGGGAATAACACTGCAAGAGAATGGCATAAAAAACACCTAAAACTATAAACTCTATGTCGCCGAAAATGAATAATTTTCAATGAGGAACTCCACAACATTGCCCTGTATCTTCTGCTTAAACATAATTTTGCTTGGTACAGTATTCATAATGATAGTAATGCGAACATTATTACTATTATTGAACAGAAAAATGTTAGGTTTCTGCACTAAATTGCACTTAATCCTGCAGTCCCATTTTAATCTGCTTGTGGTGGATTTATTTATGCATTCTGGCTACTTAGTAATTATAAAAGGTTTAGAGGAATCCAGATAGAGATTGAGAAGGGCTACCCTTTTCATTGCACTGGACTGGAGCCCAATAGCAGGGAATACCCTGAAGGGCTCAGGGGAAATGACAGTTTCATTACGGACTAATGTGTTGAGTCATGCAATGGAGACATAATCAAAACTGGCCCACTACATTTTCTACAATTCATATTAACTATCAAGAGTAACGGAGGTTGTTTCTTCATGCACTGAACACAAGTCTTTTTTCAATGGCACAAGTCTCATAACTAAAAGGAATGTACAGTAATCTGTCCCCTACCACCACGCCAGCCAAACAACAAAATACATACTGTAGCCAAACATTATTCTTAAATCGGTTGCATTGCCCGCAATGTTAAATTAATATTCCACCAAATAATATCTTATGGATGGTTCATTAATTTTAGGACCAAATACCAATATCATCACGATCATTAAAATACACTGTAAACTAGCTGCTTGATAAAAGACTGTGTCCTTACATAACAGATATTTTTTAAACACCAGTGGTGGGTATGACTAGGATACATGGTAAATATCCAGCATTCAAAACACAATATACGGTACTGTTTACGATATACTGTATATATACAGTACAGTATTTTTTTGCAAGATTAAAAAAAGAAATGTGGCCATCACTATATTACTGCTTCCCTCAGCTTTATTCCTTCTTCTTTGAGCAATTATTTTACCATTAAGGAGATACAAAAACCCTGAAAGAAATGAATGGCATATGGCAAAAATTCTGAGTTGTGGGAAGACAAAGGGTATATTCCCAATTCACAATGAGAAGCTTGGATATTTTTATCTTATAATTTTGTAATTTACATGTTTTTTTAATTATAGAGTAAATATACTGTACACTACATCTGTCATCCATCCATTTTATAACCAGTTTATCCAGTACAGGGTTGCAGGAGATGGCAGAAACCAAGAAGGTAATAAATGAATGCAAGGCAGCATACTGTACGCCCTGTCCAGTCCAATAACACTGAAACTTAAATTATAAACACTTAGAGTTTCAGGAAGAAAACTGCCAAGGAACTATTAGAAAAAGTCAGGAATATGGGCCAATATGAAAAAAAAAACATCTGCAATGTTCAATAACATGAACAGTTATGAGAAGTTTAAGACAGCTTGACTTGAAATCCCTTGATAAGAATTAATCGTGTTGCTCCTTTCTGAACTCTTTCAAAAGTGTTGATTTGATGGCTGTTTAAAAAGTGCTGATTCCAATCTGTGCATGTCACTTGAGCTGAGATCTTGTCACAAGTTCTAATTTGTGACAGACAATGCACTTTCTCTTCTGCTCAAGGAAAATCTAATGTTTCTTTTTTACCCTCTCCTGATACATTGAAATGAAAAATGTTAAAATTCCTTGAAATATACATAGAAATTAATAAGAGGAGAGTTAAATGGCCCTATATTTCCAAATAAATCACTTTGTGAAAAGTGTCAATTCATCCAATGTTAATAGAAACACACTGAAAAAAAATGACGATTATACGAAAGGCTATTCCACTCATTATTTACCCAGGTGCATACTGTTTACTCTTTCGTGAGCCACATTCTATCTGCTAAAGAAACTGAATTTACATTTAAAAATATTGGAAATGTTACCTACAGTACAACAGAATTTTGAGGAAGAGTGGTCTTTGTTAGCTTATCTAACCATGAGACATACACTATAATGTTTCCTTAAGTGGTGCCATTTAATCTCAACATCTAAATTAGTGTTTTTTAAACACTTAAAGACCAGCAATGGAAAAGACACTGTTATGTAAGTGTTCTGTAAATTATTAACTTAATTAACTACAGAACATAACGTTTTGCAAAACACGTCTTCGATGAATCTAATTAAAAACTAACAACAGTTTGACATTTCTTGGATGTGTGTGTTTATGTAGCATAAGTAACCTTCTGTATGTTATTTTTAATTGATACCTTTGGAATAAGTGTTTTGGGAGTTTCCTGTGATTTTATATCTCTACTTATTGCAGGTCTTGATTGCAGTTTTTTTTTTATATAATGAAGCACATGCAGAACCATAAAAAAACAATCCATACTAGAATTGGATCACTAAAACCAAGCAATAGTTGAAAGAGCTTAGTGTCCCAGTGACACTGCAGCCCCTGAAGTCTAGTTATTTACACATATGATTATAATGATGATAAGTGCATTAGGGTCTATTTGATTCTTAAGTTATTCATTGTGATATACTGGTGTACTGACAACTACTGTATTTCACAATACAAAGTTACACACTTAGCTGCTGGCTCCATGACTCTTACCAAGTGTTTCTTCTCCACCATGGAGGAATTGTTTTAATTTACACAGAACAACTACCCAAGAGAAGCCTTTTCCAGAAACTGTTGCACTGCAGGCAAAATAGCAAGCTGATACTGTAGGCTGAAACCCAAATGCAGAACACGTGCATCCCTGGAAAATCTGGGAGAGCTGATTAGGCAGCAAGACTGAGGTGCCTTAGTAGAAAGAGGTGAACAGGAAGACTGGATATGGGGGTTTGATACTTGATTGACAGAAATGTTGGTGTCAGGATTGAGGGCAGTAAGGATTTCCAAGCAAATAGGAGTGCTGGATGAAGACAGCAAAGTCAATAGTTCCTGCTGGAGGAGAACTGCCAGAGAAACATAAAAGTGGTGATTCTCTGCTGGACCAGTACTTTGGAAGCTAGTCAGGTAGTTGTGACTGGAGAGTGAATGCTGAGTTCCTGATGGCTCTAAGGAACTCAATGTCAGATCACCAATCTAGCAGAGACTAAAACCTTAAATAGGCAGATTAAGTGGCTGATTCATTGGATGATTGGCTGCCTGATTGAGAGGCATTCGATCGAAAGGACAAGTGGCCTGACCTCGTTTACACAGGGTTGGCCAGAGGCCGAATGCTCATGTGAATGTTAGTCTCTCTTTATACTACAGTAATTTATACTTACTTTATACAGTATTTACAGTATACTAATCTTCAACAACATTTTTACTAATCTTCATGGTTTCAGGTGTAGAAGAGATTTGCTTGTTATCTGAGCATTTGAAATTACTGAAAGAGATCCAGTGTCCAATAGACAGTACCTTATAAAATATTTTGATGTAAAAACTTGTAAAATGTAATGACATTCTCTTGCAATTCCTATAACTCCTTCATCTTAGTTTGGAATGTCAAACAGAGACATCCACTTCCCAAAAGGTCATGATAAAGCATTTTCATAAAAAGCTTGATCTATTTTCTAATGACAACTGAGTGGGTCAATATACATGCAGACGTATGGCAGGAAGGCATTAATGTTTCTTTTGCACACTGCACATGTAATTTCAATAGTGAGCTTGCTGGCTTGTGGTATTTCTGACACTGTGGGTAACTCCCATCCTTCAATGCGTTGATCACACTTGAATGCACATACTAATAGGGCAAATCACTTCTCTCATTTTTCCATCTACTACTATTTGTGAAAGGTTGTGACATTTACTGCACTTTAAACAGCTACTGTATGCAGTAAGTGTTTTTGTCAAAATAAAACAGCAGGCAACAAATTAGGACTTGGTATAATCAAAAAGATTATACAGTGAGTTACAGTGTTCGTGATTCAATCGACACCATTAGCCTAACAAAGCATGAACTCTGCATCTGCTGAAGAATGAAGAATATTGCACCAGAGTGTTAATCTGAAACTTCTAATAACAGTATGTAGTCTGATGAGGGAAAATTTGTATGGACTCCAAATACATGGGTTGCACTATTCACTGGAATGTCATCTCAAACAAAACAGTATACAGTACATTTGCAAAACATCACAACAGAAGCTCATTGTAAACTTTGTAATGTTAATGAATCAAGATTTCAAAGCAGGAACATATATTTAGGAAATAGTATTATTATTATTATTATTATTATTATTATTATTATTATTATTATATGGTATTGTTTTAAAACGTGTTTCAGCAATAAAGCACCCCTTAGCAGCGCAGGATGAGTCCTAATGTCCAATTCATTAGTTTGAATGTGGGCTACGTCATTATATACTGTGATAAACATCACGCTTAA